TCTGTTATCCTTTGATTGGATTTTTTTTTGGGGGGGGGGGGGTTAATGGATTACCGTTCAGGACTTGTATGCACTCGTTCCGTTTTTTATTGTTTTATATTTGGGGGGACATCACTACCCCACCTCCTCTTGCAGGCGTGATTGCCTTGGCTTCCGACATGTATCTGCTTCCCACTTCCAATTTAAGTATATATTTTATCTTTTTAGTCTTATTTATAAATCGTTTTTAATGTATTTTATACGGATCAATAAAATCTGAAATTTTATTATTTTATTTAAAATTTAATAATTTTTTCACTTTATTTCTATTTGATATAAAATATACCTCATGATAACAAAATAAACATAACAATAAATAAAGGGTAAAATTATACATTTGTATGAAAATTCTCTCTCTACTTTATAAATAGTGTTAAAATTTTTTTTTCTTTTTCTTTCTACCCTAAATAGGATTATAGGAGTCAGTTTTAGACTTTGATGCTCAGAATCTTATTCAACTGATTCAGAAGAAATTAAAGGTGACACTTCGGTGGATAGTCCCTTGATTCTTTAGATACAAAACCTTCTAGCTCTTTCCTGGCGTGCGTAAATTTGACATATTTCTAGGGTGAGAAATCGAGTTGCGGATTCTCTTGCTAATTAAGAAGGTTTGAGTAAATCTTCGCTCTTGAACTCTTGTTCTTCTTGGTTAAGCACCCTTGTTGCTGCTGAGTGTATTGAATTTAATTCCCCCCCCCTAACTAATTATCTGTAATTTGTTGGGCCTAGTCCTTTCTCTTGTAGCCAAAAAAAGAAAAGAAAAGGAAAGTCTATTATTTAAAGTACTTTACAGTTTTCCTCCCCCCCCCCCCGGGGAATTTGAGAACTCCACTCCCCCACCACCCCTCCCCTAATTTCAAATAAATTAGTTTTAGATCGAATAAAAATACCTTGAACTTTGAGATAGACACATTCATTGCATGTCGTGGGTTCCCAAATAGACATGTGCTGTACTGCCTTCTGTTGCATGTCATAGATATATACATCCATTTACAAAGCAGTCATGGAAATGGAGACGAATGAGGGTGGCACCTATATGAGGATCAGACTGGGAGAGCCCCGTTGAACTACATTAGTGACAATGGAAGAAGCGTTGGGGCAAGAGCTGAGCATTTGATGATGTGGGGTAGTAAAAGGTGAGAGCTATGAAGACGGAGGCTAGCAATAAGGGATGAGCATGAGGAGTAGAAGAAAACATGGTTGTAACAGAATGAACGAGTAAACAATTGTAAACAATTATAACATAATAGATATTATATTTCAATCCAGATACTAGTGATAATAATTATGTGTCCTTTTTTTTTTTTTAACTTTTGTTCCACATATAATTCTTTGTTAGTTAATTTTACTTTATATGCCTATAAAAATCATTAACATTTTTTAGATTTAGCATATACACGTGGGTAGTAAGGGCTCTCATTACCGATCGAGAAATTGGCGGAGTCTTAATTTGTCTGGATAACTACAGAAAAGGACTTTTAGATCATAAACTCTAGTTTGGGCTCAAAATCATCCAAACAGTCAAAGTTTTTGGAAAATTGATTTTTTAAAAAAAAAACAACCATGGTTTAAAAGTATGTTAATTATTTGGGTCAAAGGTATCAACTCAATACAGCCTCATTCTTTTAGCTTGTAATTCCCGTCGATGATTTTACTTCCTCCAGTGAGTAACTGGAGCCCATTAGTGAATTGGATTGTCTTGAGCAATGCCTAGAAAAATGGAGTAATAGTATAGTAAGCTATGGCTGATTCTATGTCATAGTGATAATCAAGGACATGGTATTATAGTTTTCGCTCTTTAATTAATTTGTTAATACAAACAATCCTTTATTCTAATTAAATTTTAATTTTAATTTTCAAACATGGAGTCATATATGTGACAAAAATTAATTTTAATTAACCTTGTTTTAAGTTGAGAGTTTGAGACTCATTAATATTTCATTTATTATTATAAAACTATTTAGAAATAAACATCTCAGATCATCATGAGTTTGATTAAAACCCATACAATTTTGATTACCGAATAACACTACAATTTTACATGAACTTTTATTTTTAAAATATAGTAATATCACAGTACAAGGAGGTAGGAACAACTAAACCTCAAATTTATGAATATAAAGGGGAACCATAAGTCCATTACTCAAAACTTGCGTCGAGAAAGAGGGGTTCTCTGACAAATACGTTCCCTGGCATGTGGTGAACTGTGTTATGAAATTATATGCTACTAAGGGGTCTAGCGGGGTTCGAAGTACCATCTATAGTGCTTATGCTTATGTCCATGATGATGAGCTCCCAACGTGCACGACGTTAATTTCAAGTCGCAGCAAACAGAATCCCACTGAGCTTGTCATCAGTGCGATTGTGACATTCTACTTGGATAAGACTCGGGCTCTTCAAATGGGTCCAGAAGCTCCTGAATGGATGCGGTGCCTCCAACTTCTGGAGTGTCAGCAGTGGGCGTCTATTTTTTCCCTGCTTTTGTACTGATCCTTGAAGGCAAGGATCTTTTTCTTTGGGGGAGTATCTTGATACATGGGAGGGATAAGGTCAGGGGTAGTTTGGGAATATGGGCAATAAGACTATAAATAGAGAGTTTTATGGGTGTAATCGGTGTTGAGTCAATTAGTTTTTTTTTTTTTTGTTTCAGTCTCTTCTCCCTTTTCTATGATAACAGTAAAGATGCAATCTTATGACCCACTTGGAATGGCTTTGGAATGTAAAATTTTTTTTAATCTTAATTTATATAAAAATATGCTGGTAAGTGTTTATAATTGTGATGTCAAATGAAGCTTCAAACTTCTGACCATAATGATGAGAGCCCGGAAACTATATTCATAATCCGTGTTCGAACCACAACATTATGGATCACTTGTCCAGACTTCACATTAACGGGTCACCCAACATTTATCGATGGACTAATTCGTCCGTATTGGATCCTGATCAATCTAAGGCCCAGGCCCAAATCTTCGACCCACCATAATGAATGTTGAATCCTGCACCTTTTGTGGTCGCAGCCAGGTAAAATGGTCTACTAAAGATCGATGATTATTATGAAGCCACCCAAGTCTAGATGAAAGTGGCATGACGTGTTCATAAGGTCGGACCCACCCCTCAACCGTGAAAAAGGTGCTTCTCACGAATGAAGAAAGAAGCGAACGCATTATTATTATTATTATTTGAAAAATAGAGGGAAGTAGCGGAGCCCGCTAGGCCCAGTAGGGGATCCGTAAAAGCGAATCCGTTATATTTGCCCGCAGGCACGCCCATCGTATGAATATGTGCTCAGAAGGACAAACCGTAGTGCATACACACAAGACTATAACCGGAGTATATTAGCAGTACAAACGTACGGTAGGCCCAGGCATTCAACAAGTGTGTGTTCCTTCCTTTTTGCCTCATACACAGCCTTTTTTTTTTAAAAAAAAAAAAAGATGAGGATCATCAATTTGGATTGAAATCACTAATTCCGTTGCTTAATCAGGATCAAAAGAATCCATGGACGTTACGTCTGGTGTGTGACTCAATCTCAATACACGTACTAGCGTTTCATGTCCAGTTTTGTAATAGTGATGGGGTAACTTCTTCTGGTGGATCCATTATTATTATTATTGGAGCTCTCTTGTTTACAAAGCTACCTATAGCTGTGTACGTCTCGTTTGATAGAACAGTGAAAATCCTCTGTAAACACATTTCACATAAATCAAGACAAGACTCATCTAATATATTTACCTCGTATTGGTAAATCACTATTAAAAAGCACTTTATAAGTTGTTTCAAATGGGTTTATAAATTTTTTAGGGATTCACTTAATCTATCAGAGAGTGTGTGTGTGTATATGACGGCTTTGCTAGCTGTTCCAACAAGTTATAGAAAAATGACTGCCACATATATCTATTTAATTATGACGAGACTAGTTCTGTTTAGTCAGATCATTTGAGAAATATGAATCATATATATATGTGCGTGTATAATATCCCATGCATGCCTGCTTTAATCTCTACATGGAAGGGAGGACAATCAAGTAAACGTCACATCTTCACCCAAAACGAATACGGGGATTTATACATGTGTGTGTGTGTGTGTGTAGTGTCCATTTATTTTGTCAAGACAAGTAACCACACGCATTTTATTTTAGTCGAACAATTCGGGCAGGCACAATGCTAGTTTTCGAGGATACGTGTTCGGGCGTGGTATCTTTAGTTTTCGGTCTATTGAATTTATCTACGCTTACAATATTAGGTCGTTAGGTTACTAGAAGCTTTAATTTGTAATTCATTCTGTTGGAACATAATAGAACCAGTATTAATGTACAATTTCAAACACACGTCTGAGGGGTCAAAATGATTCTGCTTCGTGTGAATACTTTTATTTAACCATTTTCAATGAAATTCGCCGCCATGAAGTGCGTAATGTATATGGGGGGTTTTATTTGGTTTCTGCAAATCGAAGAAGGATGACGCGCACGAGAAGAGATATGAGAAATTGAAATTAAAAAGGCGGGGAGGAGTAAAAAGTAAAAGTGGCGTGTAATGTATGGATACAGAGAAAGAAGGGAGAAAGCAGATAGTCAAAGGGAAAAGCAATGAAGGAGACGGGGAGCGAGCATCAGTGTGGCGTGGTTGTTCAGTGAGGGATGGGCCCCACCATCTTCCCTTCTTAATTCTTATTACCAAAAGTTGGAAATATAAAACTATCCACTCTCTGTCTCACACACATTTTTTTTATTTTTATCTTCTGGTATTGTGGATGACTGGTACTATCCTCCCCGTTGCACCATCCACTCTGGCATCCTCGTCCGTACTCTGTCGCCTTCCATAGCTTCATCCACTCCTCTCCCTCTCTCTCACCGTCTACCGCCTCATCCGGTCACTTTCCTCCCTCGCACGTGCCACTGTGTCACCCAGCCCCTCATACGTGCCGTCTCCCGTCCATACAAACCTCCCCTCTCTTTCTCTGGTGCAACAAATAAAAGTTAGAGAGAGAAACCTACAGCTAGATATATAGATGCAGAGATAGAGTGTGTCTGTGTGTGTTTGAGCCTGATAAAAAGCATAAATTTTTCTCCGGCTCTTTCAGGGGGTGTGCGGGTTTTGCAACAGTGGATGTGTTTACCTTTCTCTCTCCGTCTCTATCTTGTCGCTTGTTATTATTTTTATCATTATCGTTTGCCTTCTCAAATCTCCAGCGAAGCATCAGTTCTGGTCCTGAGCGTTTAAGTCGATTGGTGTTTTGTGGTCTAAACCTTGTGACATAGCGGCGAATCCTATCTTGCACCGATGAGGATCCGCAAAAGTCAGCTCTTTTTCCCTTTTTCCTCCCTCTCTCCGGCTCCCCTCTCAGATCCCCACCTGATCAACCCCTCTCCGGTGGTGCAACTCGACGACGATATCGTTCTCCCTCCTAAACCTTCCCCTCCGTCTACCTTATCAGATCATCCTCGCCCGTCTGATCAGCTACTCCCTCCGATCGGCAGGCCTACCGACCTCTCCGATGATCCCTCCGGCGTCGCAGCCGTGGCCACGGATAGTGGAGCTCACCGTCAGCCCCAAAAACAATATGGTTTGGTAAGTGAAACGTAGATGGCCGTTCGATTTTTACTATTTCTATATTTGTGTTTGGAATTGGATTGGGTGGATATGTACAAGTGCAGTTTTGTCCGATCTCTAGCATAAGCAAAGAGGGGTGGTTGTAGAAATTTGGATTGCGATTATTTATTTCTCCCCCACAAAAAGGGAACTCTCCGCGCTTGCCGTAATTTTGCAGGAGGAAGATGGGAGAGGTCCAGGAGAGGAAGGAGAGAAGGGTAATGATACCAGGTAAGAATAAAAACAAAATAGTGATTCAACATATAAATTAGAAAAATATCTTCCCTTCGCCTCTTTCGTGAAATCTTTGGTTGTAGTGAAAAAAAAAAAAAAAAAGTGAGAACATGGAGACCCATGACTTGATTTTACCCTTCGTCCCAAAAGAGATATTTTTTTATTGAAATGAAAATAGCACGCACAGGCGCACAGCGGAAAAATACTGTTAGTGGAAAAACTGTGGAAGCTATTTTAATTTATAAAAACAAAAGCTCGGGGATAGCTAGCCACCATACCCATATGTTTATCGGATCCTTTATTCCTGGGCTCTATCTTGAGTGACTACCATATGCCTCGAGGTGCACATGTAGCACCCGAATGCTGGTCCCCTTCCACATTACATCTAGTTTTTCATGGTTTCACAACTTACACCCCTTTCTATTTCATTCACTTCGGCTGTAAATTTTTTGTCTGTGTGGCTGTGTGGGTCGTCTGGGTCTGCTTTGCCAGCAGGAAAGGGAGCATATCGGGTTCGCAAACAGTCGCTGATCACGTCCTCTCACCCTCAAGTCCTTCTAATCAAGGTCGACATTCATACTTTCTCAACAAAACTAATCATGGTAGTTGTTATACTGATGATAATTATGCACACACATATAAAATCTGTGGCTGAATGATGTTGGCAGATGAGAGATGGTGCGAGGGAGAGAGAGCGATTCCACTGAAGAAAAGAAGAGGGAGCTTCGAGAGGACAAAGGTGGAGGAGTACGACGAGGTGACACAGAATAATAACAAGAAGGAGAAAACTAGGATGAAGACGAAGATGAACAAGAAATGCTCGAGGCAAAACGAAGATGATAACGAAGACGACGTGGGAGAAGGAGGAGGAGAAAGAGAAACGAAACGGGAGCGAAACGCGGGCAGGAAGAGGGCGAGGGGTAGTGCAGTCATGGAAGGGTCGAGGTGCAGTCGTGTGAACGGAAGAGGGTGGAGGTGTTGCCAGCAAACTCTCGTGGGTTACTCGCTGTGTGAGCATCATCTGGGCAAGGGACGGCTCAGGAGCATCACTAGTGTCAAAACCCGATCCGTTCCTGCCTCTGCGACTTGTTCTCGGAAACCGGAGCCTCACATGTTATCGCAAGTTTCAACTTCTTCGTCTTCTGTTCTAAAGCAAACCAATGAGGCGGAACAAGACCAAGTGGAGAAGAAGCCGGAAACAATGCCGAAGAAGAGGATGAAGCTTGGTGTGGTGAAAGCGCGATCCATAAGCAGCCTACTTGGACAAACCAACACCCGTGTTGCTGCACTCGATCGAGAATAACAAGTAAGGCGTGAAGCAACATACAAAACCTACTGCCCAAAGCTATTATTTCATGCAACGAAGTTTAATTACTATAGGACTTTGTATATTAATGGAGTGCAATTGCTTTTGGTTCGACTGACTTTCATCACCATGTATTTCCCATGCCATTGTGTTTCTTGTTTTGTCCCTTCCACACAAACACATAAATATAGTGTTGCTTGCTTACTTGGCTTGGGTTACTTTTGTTTCGACCGTCTCTTGGGAAAAGATTATTTATTAGTGAAGTATTAGACTGAGAGAGTGAGAGGCACTGTTTGTTTTGCTGCCGGGTGCAATATTTATTCATTCAATAAGCACTCCATTACATTATCCAGCGGATCTTCTCAGGAGACCGGATCGCGAACACTTGATGTCCTTTGACTCTGGAAAAATACTAGTACAGTAGTTTTTGGAAGAAAACGAACGATTCTGTCCGTTAGTTATCACGTGAAACGCATTTATTTATTTTTTTGACCAGCGAAACGTATTTAATTATAATAACGAGGCGAACGTATTAATGAAGATGAAGATGTGATCACGATAATATAATTCATGGTTATTGTTTCGTCGTCAAGTCACCCACACTTGGTTTCAGCGTTTGCACGCCTTTCATTTACGCGCGGTTATATACACTAACACAAACAAAAGCAGATCATGATGAATAATTTGTGCGTGTTGTCTTAAAACCTGAATTTGTAGTTTCATAGAGCAATCCATGCAGTCTGCAATATATAGGGTTATCCGTTTGAGGTCAAGTAATTTGCTTGCTTAATAATTATGATATTTTATTTAAAGACACCACATGTTGATTTGTCTATATGCGGAGGGTTTACATCAACTATGGACGTGTTCGTTTCCTTTTCGAATATCAGTCATATATTTGTAAGTTGAAAATAATATTATAAATGTTCGGCCAAAGGGGGATCGGAGGCAATGCCGAAGAGAGTTATTATAACTGGTTTGTTCTTGTTCGTGTACAGTTCTGATATTTGTCTTTGAGTGGTTAAGTTTGAGAGGAGGGCAGGTTTTGATTTGGATGGATCGACCCCCCTTCTTTTCCTTTCTCCTTTAGAATGACATGACCTACATGTATACGGTTCTTCCGCTTGCTGTTACGCACTACGCACCTCGTGCATGTACCCAATAATTTGTTATCTTTTTGAGAAACAGTAACAACGTTATATATAACGCCCTTTTACATACGCACTCTAATTTGCCTTACGACCTCTTGGATTGCAAACGACAATGGCTTCCCAGGCGCGTTTATATTTTCTATGCAAAATGAGGCCAGCCCCGTGCCATGATTGCTCGCCCAGAACTTTAAATACTTAAATGACGTGATTATGCTTAAAGCGATAAAGAAGGTTAACTTTGGTGGTCGGAGAAAAGAAAAAGAAATCGTTTCACAGTAGTGGGAGTATGTATAGATCCCAATCAACAAGGTAAAGTTGTGTTTGAAACTTTGAATATATAAGCCATTACACAAGGAAGGAAGAAGAGAGCGCAGTCCCCAATATGAAATGTATGCAATAATGTCCATTGACAAAATAAACCACGCTCATAATTAAGTCCAATATCACGCAAGCTTACGAATTCGCGCAGATCACTGAATCGTAACCACTGTTACAGTGTTACCGTATACTTTGAGGCTGTGATGAGAAATGTAACGTCCTTTCCCAGCAGTTTCTGAGGGTAAAAAATGGGGAAAAAAAGAAGAAGATGAGGACAATGGACATGGGTCAATTCGTGCATAGTGCAGGTAGACCCCTACGGATGAGCACTATGGTAATGCATGTCCAGTAGCAAATTCTCTTCCGTCTGACTGCAGAATTTTCTGCCTGTCTCAATCAATAAAGATGTGTGTTTGGTCAATGTTCTTTTGATGGCATATAGTAGCGTGGGATACAATTTCCACCTCCATGTGTAGAGTTTCCTTGCCCATGTTTCCCCTCTCTTTTCCACCTTCCGAGAAAGTTAATTAGCTCGAACAGGAGAAACATCCTCGTGAATGTTTTGCCTTTATTAAGAATTATTATGACTGCCCCGTGAAATTCCATTGGCTCGTCAGGTTTTGGTTCCGCAGAAAAGTCAATGCTTTATCAATTTGTCTAGCCCTCTCCAAGATAAACATTGGTGATGAATGGAGTAGTATTCCATCTCTATCAAAAGGTTGTCTTGGAACCTGCTTTACAGACTTCTTTTTCAGTACAGCGATGGCCTTGATGGGTAGGTTTGGGGATGACAGCTAACAAGAATTTCCTTATCTCATTTTTGGGCAATGACGTGGTTCTCATGTATTCCATTCTAGTGCAAAACCCGAAACCCAATTTGGGTTCGTCGGTCCCTAAAATCTCCAAACCCCAAAACTACACCAACCGTATTTATTTAATTACTCTTAAGTTTCTTTGATTTCCTTTATATGTGTGCACGAGCGCACAAGTTTCGTCAAATCTTCGTCTTGTAATAAGTACTGGTGCAAAATAAGTTATTCTTAATTGCATGCAATTGTTTGTGCTGTTTAAGGTGAAAGTGAATCCCATTATATTTAACAAGATGTTTGATATGCTTCAAATCAGGCCTCTGCGGGTTTAAATAGTTGTTTTCACCGTCTTTGATCCATGGCTTTTAAAGCAAGGATCAAAGGAAGAGGATTATGCACTCATGTCTTCGTGCACTTCCGAACCACTGCTTCGTTTATATGCATACCGATCTTTTTAAAAGGAAGGGGGGGGGTGGAGTTAAGGGGAGAATATATTCTTTGTTGAAAATGAAAAATCAGTTTTTTGTAAAGTTGGGACTATTTTGTCTTTTATGGGTAAAAATTACCATAGTGATATTTAAGAACAAAGGGCCGAACAGATTGTTCAAGATAGAGATTGTTGGGATGGAGACCCTAATACGGCACTTCGTACACAAACCACAGGAATTATGACTTGTACGCAATGGTTCATGGATCTACGTAAAATAACCGAACTGACTAACATATGTATAGCCATTGGAAGGTACAATCATGTTCAAAGTCATCGTCGAACAACAAATCTTGAGATTCTTGTAATAACAAAACGAGAAAGGTGTGTGTTGCTGCGGTTGGAATAAGTAACTAAAATCCTGTGATCAAGAAGGCTGTGGCCAATTAGGAGGGAAAAGATAATAAGAAACTTTGGTAGGCAGCTAAACAAAAGTAGCATTTGTTTACAGGGAACGAGAGAGAAAAGGAAGCATAAACAAACAAGGTCGATAGCCAATTGTTTGAAATGGATTGCGTGTAAGTTTTAGGTGAGAAATGAAGGGACGATCACACCTCACATGGTGGAATAAGCTGTGGATGATTGGTGGGAACTGGGAAGGGGTGAGGACGAGGACCTTTATGGTGGTTTGGCAATATGCAAGAGAGCACTACGAGTAGAGAAAAGGCATACTGAGAAAAAAGCCAGAGGGCCCAACCGGCAAAGCCAGTCTTCACATCCTCACACCCACTTTTTATAAATATATTATTCAATGGCATGTGGCCTAGACGCCCCACCAATAATCATACACACACACAATTACAAGCCCATATGCCATGTGTTAATACTCCATTTTAATTTCTAACCATCCCTCTCGTTCGTACTTCGTACCTATATTTTTATCCTCACTTCTTTTTAACCAAAGCAGCATCCCAAGCGCTTCCTATTTGTTTATATTTGCGCACAAGAATCTGCCGAATTTGTGTTGTTCTGTTTAGGCAAAAAGCAACCGACCGGCCACCACAGGTTGTAAAGGAATTAATATGGGTCTGGAGTTGTTGATGGCGAGGTTGGTGCCTTCTGGGGAGAGCCACAAGGAATTGAATTGTTGCCCTCTTTCATGATAGAATTTACGATCACGATCACAATCATTTGATAACTGATTTCATCTTCGCCCACCAGTGGGCCCCCCCACCCGCAGGCCCAGGCTTAAATGGCTGTCATGTGTTTACATACATCACACTACTCATAATTTGATGGATCCCCATTTTTACACGTTACACCAGGAGATCTGGTTGTGTAGACACCATTTGCTTCAAAAAGTAGGACTTAGAAACTGTTGGTCTCGCTCGCTCTTTCCTTGTTAGGCCCTCCATAGAATAGCGACAATATATATACATATATCGAGGCAGAGAGTACGTTATAATTATTGATGCCGGGTTGTTTCTTACTGAACAGCCCGTGCTGCGACGAAGAAAAGAAGTTGATGAAAACGATTACGACGTCCAAATGATAAACGGTGATTAATGGCGATGATGATAGGAAAGCAAGAAGCCCGTGATGAGTCGCATAATTAGAACACATGATATGGCCTCGTCAAGATCTCCGGATGATTCGATGCAGATATGAAAGTTGAGTTTTGGATGAGAGAGCGAGGGGGAACAACCATATATGTAGGAGAGACAGATCGGGATGGGACCCTAATCGTTAGGTGGGGTTGATGGAAAATGCTGAAGCAATATTAATTTCTCCGTTTGGATTGTAGTCGTAACCTTATTAATTTCGCAGCTGTCTTTGTCCTTCTTGTTACCTGGGTTAAATTTTTCCAGATATGCTCTGCTACTATTACTTCTTCCCTCTTAGGCTCCAGAATATTAAAAAGGGCTCATGAGTTAATCGCCTAAAATTCTGTACTACTTTGGTTGCCGCAGCGAATCAATCCAGGTACTTCCAGCAGTCCCAACATATTTTAGACGTGCATGGTCCGGCCATGTCGTTTTGATGTTTTCCGAGCCAGCGGTTGTGGTGGGTATAGCCTTTGGTTGTTACTGTTTTTCTTGGGTTTCATTCTTAATTAAATGCTATACTTTGTGGAGTGAAGAGGCAGCAGAAGCCTCTTCAAAAACTGGACAATGCAAACGCCAATAAACGTGCCAGTGATCCCTGTTCCCTTCATCTAGCTCTTCGTTGTTATTCCATTAAACGCCAAAAGATTGCGCTAAATTTGGTTTTCTGGTTACAGTATTGCAAATATTTAATGATTCTGAAATATATATACACCCGCTCAAAACTTTGAGGCTTGACCGGCGTCCAAATAAAAACAAAATGAAAGATGACTTTTCGTCTCGGTACAGGGCTTGTTTGCTGTTGAGACTAAATCAACGAAAGCCACCAACTCCAAATTTCATTGGACGCTGTGTGTGCGTGTATATTTTCTCACGCAAAGTAGAAATCTTTCAATCTTCAAATTTCTC